TGTCCCATAGTTTGCATCTCTACAGGACTAAGCATTTGAATAGGCCTGCACCTGGGCCTAGGGCTAGGTGTGTAAGTAACAAGTGAGGACAGAGAGAGAGTTAGGAGTGACCTAGCTGGGAGGAGTCAACTGAAGGAGACAGAAATGGCCTTGTGGCTTTGGAAGCATGGTTAGAAAACAGCCAGGAAGAGGCTCAATAAACAAGAGACTCCAGTTTTGCAGCATGGAACTGAGAATTCTCCAAAGATGACAAGATGCCTGTGTTTGGTCTTTATCGCCATTGGGTTGCTAGTGTTAGACCCCCGAAAACTCAAGTATCCGGGGTCCCAGGCCACGTTCGCGGTCACCCCAATCACCAGGCGGATTCGAGAGCTTGCTGCAAACTGCACGAGGCTTTATTGTAATTTAACGAGCTAACCCCATGTTAGCTCGGGTCTTTCACCCACCCACCATGGCGGACAGCTAGAAAAGACGGTTTGAAGCCGCTGCACATAGATCTTTATAGGGCAGCATAAGGGGAGTGTCTAGGGGTATGCACAGGCTCACGATTGGTGTGCCTCCAGGCTTGGTGGGCTTGCCCTGTGTTGATTGGTCAACTGGTTGTTATGGCTCATAGGCCCTCCCAGGGTGGTTGCTATGCTCTCTACCTATGTCATTGCTGTGCGCTTGTCCGTAAAGCACACCCAGAGCCATAAAGCATAGTGCCACCAGCTAACTTCTGATTGGTTCCTTGTCACGAGACAGGCATCTGACTTTCTAGTTTCTAGGACAAGGTCATAGAAACACGTGTTCGGCCATTATGGCTGCCAAAAGGGAAGCTGGTTCCTTCACTAGGAATTTCCAAGTCCATGCTCCCCCACTCAGGCCCAACCTCATGGCTACTGTGGCTTGGGGCTGAGACATGTGGGGACAACCACACATTGCCACATGTGTGGAATGGAAGTGGCTAGAGCGCTGTGTAGCCCAGGATGGCCTCAAACTTACGGTGATGGATGGCCTTGCCTCGGCCTCCCACATGCTTAAACTACAGGGGTTTGTTCAAACTGAACCTTTAAAAGAAGAGAGAGGGGCTGGGGGAGTTTTGAATCCATAGAATATTCAAAAAAGAAAGAAAGGGTGTGTCTTTGGAGACACCACAAGCTGAGGTGTCATGAAAATTTCAGGTGTGTTGGGGGGATGCAAATGTGGCGAAATATTAACAGCTGTCGATGCCAGCTGGCATCCCTTTGCCTTTCCTGAAGATTAGACTTTGTCCAAAAAGAGAGAGGGGATTAAAAGGATATATAAACTACCAGAAGAACTCAGGAAACATCTTTAAAAGCAGACAGGATTACACCAGAAAGTCTGGTGTGGTGGCCGCACATCCAAAATCCCAGCACGTGGGAACTTGTGGCAGAAATATCACAAGCTCAAGTCCCTGACTCTAGAAAATGACAACATGGAAAGAATGGGGGTGCATTGCTTCTGAATGCTTCTGCCCTTCGGTGCCCATGTCTCTCTAGCAGGTAAGACACCTGTGTTGGGTGTTTTGTTTTGACCCCGACTGGTCACAGAAGGCTGTTCACAGCCACAGCCCTTCCTCTCCCGGCTGCACTTTGTTAGAGAGTGACAGGAAACCCAGTGCCTCAGCCCTGGGCCCTCGCCAAAAGGAAAGCTGCTGCAGGAGGCCCAGGCTCAGCCCTTCCTTCTCTGCAGGACAATGCCTGAGGCCGCACTGCCACTGCCAGCAGGAAATGCCTGGGAGAAGCGAGGTGGCCCACTGCCCAGGAGAACAAGAGGTGCAGGCTCTTGTTAAGCTTTCTTTCTAGCAGAGTCCAAACTGTGGCCCAAAAGCAAGGTCTAAAGCCCTGGGCTGCTGCAGGACTCTTAAGTGGCCTGGAAAAGGAAGCCAGGAGTATGTGAGGAGCTCCCAGGGAGGGATGAGGTTAGGCTGCTTCTAAACAGCCAGACATGTTCTCCTCAGGCACAGACCGCTCCTGGCTGCAAGCTGTCACTGTCTCATCGCCCCCCTGAGCCCCTAGACCTCCGCCATTTATCTTTCTCAGAAAGCCATTTCCTCCTCGTTTCTAAGAGGGCCTTTACAGGGCTGGTGCTGGGACACCCCACCTCCCCACCCCCCAGCCACAAGCATGAGATGGGTGGCCTGTCTTCTGCCACTGTGGTGTTTTTACCTCAGTTGACACCAAGTGCGGACTGGAGCTGTGGGAGAGAAAAGCAAGAGTTTGTCTGTGACTGGTTCAATTAGACACAACTGGAAAGAACAAGTAGATAGCTGAGCACGTGAGTCTAAAGAATGTGAGGTCGATAACCCAGAGGAATGAAACAAACCACACAACTGCAACCTCCTAAGGTTGAATTGGGAAGAAACAGAAAGTCTGTGCAACAGAGATGAGTAGTAATTACAAACCCACTCACAGAGCTGAGTCCTACCACATTGGAGAGCCCCGTGTGGTGTCCACACCTACAGTCCCAGTGCTGAAACAGGACAGTCACTGAAGCAGGATGGTGTCTGAATCAGAGGGCACTCTACACTGAGCACCGAGTCACCTGGGCTATGTAATAAGACCTTGTCTCAAAAAACAAACTAAAAGTAAGCTTGGGTGTGCATCTTAAATCCCAGCATTGGGGAGGCAGAGACAGACAGATCTCTGTGAGCTCAAGACTAGCCTGATATACATAGCGAGTTCTACATTAGCCTGGCCTACATAGTGAGAACCTGGCTCAAAAAAAAAACAATTAAAATTGTGCTTGGAAGGGAGGTTTGACAAGAGATGAACACGTAGGAAATGCAGGAACAGGGGTAGCCCAAGGTAGCGGGGAAGGGGAAGGGACCAAGAGCTGAGCCATGGTCTCTCTGCCATCAGCTGACAGTTTTCTTCATTGTCTTTGAACCCAGCTTCCTTAGGATGACAATAAGCAGATTAGCTTTCACGACTGGCATGTGTCACTGCTTGAACCGAAGGAGTTCTAGTGTCACAAGAACGTTAAGGCAGGTGTCACCATCCGCTCACTTTTGTTTTTTGTTTTTTGAGACAGGGTTTTTCTGTGGAACAGTTCTAGCTGTCCCGGAAATCATTCTGTAGACCAGGCTGGCCTTGAACTTACAGAGATCCGCCTGCCCCTGCCTCCTAAGTGCTGGGATTAAAGGCGTGCACCACCAATGCCCAGCCATTGCCTCACTTTTAAGTAGGAACACGTTACAAGTGCTCCAAGGAGCAGAGGGTAAATTCCAGTCTAAGATGTCAGGTCCACAGCCATTCGCTGACAGCGCTCTCTCTCTCCCTCCCTCCCTCCCTCTCTCTGTCTCTCTCTCTCTCTCTCTGTCTCTCTCTCTGTCTCTCTGTCTCTGCTGTCTCTGTCTCTCTCTATCTCTCTCTCTCTCTCTGTGTGTGTGTGTGTTTATGAGTTCACGTGTGAACACATTCAAGTGACTCAGAGGACTGTTGTACACGAGGTGTAGTTCAAGCATGTTAGACCTCAAAGCCCACCCCCACAGGGACACACTTCCTCCAACAAGGTCACACCTCCTAATAATGCCACTCCCTATTCAACTCATGAGTCTATGGGGGCCATTCCTATTCAAACCACAGTCAGTTCACGCCTCCCATCAGATGGGTCCCAGGGATTGAACTCAGGTCTTCAGGCTTGGCAGCAAACACTTTGACCCAGGGAGCCATCTCACTGGTCTTGTGTGCCTTCTTTTTTCCTACTCCCCTCTGACAGAGTTTCACTATAGAGCCCAGACTGGCGTGGGACTTTGATCCTCCTGCCTCAGCCTCCTGAGTGCTAGGATTACAGTTCTATCAACCACACATCTCAGGGTGACTAACTAAAATAATTCATTTGGCCCTCCTTGGTGTGGGGGGAGGTATGCTAAGCCTAAAGGAAAGCTATAATACAGAGGAAAACGGATGTAGAACTGGATGTGGTGTCTCAGGCAGGCCTGTAATCCCAGCACTTGGGAAGTGGAGAAAGAAAGATCAAAAGTTCAAGGTCATCCTCGGCTATTTAACAAATGGAGGCTAACCTGTACTACATAAGATCCTGTCTCCATAGCAGAAACAAAAACAGTAAAGTGTGAGTATATGGAACTGAGAGCATAAGGCTTCCCTGCCTTGATGCAGGGGTGATGGTGACATGAGGAGGGCTCCAAGTTTAGAAAGACAGTGAATGGAGGATCTCTGGTTTCCCCAGAGCGCTGAGGATGGAGCGCCCACAGGCCAGCATCAGACAGGATTTCTCCGTCTAGTCCTGACTGCCCTGGAACGAGGCTGACCTCGAATTCAGAGATCCGCCTGCCTCTGCATCTCGAGTGCTGGGATTAAAGGCATTAAGTTTCAATATATCCGGAACTGGAGGGGACACAAATGTTCAGACCACAGCGACATCTCATTTCGTCCTAGCAGTGGTCATCACTGGGACCGTGCTGTAATCCCAACACCAGGGAGACTGAAGCAGGAGATCTTTGAGTTGGAGGGCGAACTCCCGGCTGGCCGGGGCCGCGAAGCAAAAACCCTGCTCACAAGAAAATGAGCAGTGGAGCGACAGTCGTGCCGTGCTTTAGACAAGTTTACGGAAACCAGTAAAGACACTTTGAAAATATTCTAATGGTTCACTTTAAAGAAAAGCATTCTTTTACCTAATTGTGTGGCACTGTGGCTGGATGGGAGCGGCACGTTCCAAAATTAACCCTTCCCTGGCTGGATCCAGGGAGATTGGGTGGCACAAGGCGTGCCCTTGACAGCTTCAGCAGAGTGAAAAGAGGAAGCAGAGGCGATCTGTGCGCCCTCGGTCCCCCACCCACCCTTCTGTGGTACACCTTTTTAACCAGTGACCTCGAGCCTCGGAGTCATGCCGCCACCACCGCTAAGGAGGGCTTGGCAGCGCCAGAGTATTGTCTGGCTTGGCAACCGGGATGACCCTGCTTTGGGACCGGGTGCTGGCGGAGCCCTCCTTTGTGCGGCGGCTGCGCGCGCCTCCACCGCTAGGGGGCGGCCCGAGCCCCGCAGACTCCGACAATAGGCGAGGCTGGGGAGCCGCGCGGTCCGGGAACTTTCCCCGGGGTCGGCGGGAGGCTCGCCCGGGCCATGGAGGAGGGAGCTGGCACCGCGTCCCCGCTCTGGAACTGGGACTACCTGGACCGCTGCTTCGCCCACCGCCGTGTCTGCATCTCCTTCGGCCTGTGGATCTGCTCTGCCTGCTGCTGGATCGCCGCCCACGCGCTGTAATGGGGCCGGGACCCGCGCGAGGGGTGGCGGGCCACCCGCGGGAGAGACTGGGCGCCACTCGCCTCAGCTCCTCTAGGAAACCTAGGGCAAGGGGAGCAAAGGGGGCGTTCAGGAGGCAGCTCAAGCCCGAGGTCAGATCTGACATTGCTCTATAGACTCAAGTGGAGTCCCTTCTGGATTCCGAGCACGGGGAAGCTGGGCTGTGAGCCAGAGGCAGGAGGCTGGGTGGTGCAGTGGATGCGGCTTGGATTGGCTTCTATTGTCAGCCTTTCCTTGCTGGCTGGCGGGGAGCAAGGGCAAGGTGTGAGCCTTTGGGCCTCCTGTGAATGAGGATATGCCTCATAAAATGAATGTGAGGATTAAATGAGGCACAGCAGGCAAAGGACTTAGTAAGTGCTCACTAAACACCGTTACCGCTCTGGATCTGCCACCCGCCCTAGGGACCCTAGTAAGTCCCTGATGTTTTCTAGTTTTAATTTATCCAAAGTTGGGAGGAGGTGTGACAGTGGTGGTCCGACTCTGGCCACAGTTTTGGCTTTTGTCTACCTTGCAGAGGTTTGGCCAGGTAGTCCCTGTCGCCTGGGTTCTGAGAGTGAAGCCTCAAGGTCTTCAGTCACGCTGTCCCATGCACAGAAATCCAGAGGCAGTTTCCAGGGTGGTGCCACCAAGTATATCGAGTCAGGAGGGGGGAGCGTGCGTCGTCCCTCTATTGCCACTGCGGTAACCGGTTCACCTTAGTGCCCAGGGGATAACCCTCAGACTTTCCGTGGTGGTTCAGAGAGTCTGCAGTCCATGGCCTAGTGACTGGAGTCTGGGAATAACACTCTGGGCCCGGGGTGCATTTCTTCACGCTCTTGGTCCTTGCCTGCCCCAGTCCCTATAGTAGGTTCGGATGAGGAGCCTGCTTACTGAGTGGTTAATGACCCTGCCTGTCACACAGGCAGGCTTCAGGGATTGGGCTCTCGGTGTCAGAGGGTGCAAAGTAAGAGGGCTCTGCTGCGCCCTCTCCTTTGACACAGCATCGTCTCCTTTGTTCCTCAGCCACCCTATGCCACAACACTGTTAAGCATGCTCGCCCCTGGGTCCAAGAGAATGCCTAGCTATACAGGCTTGAGAACAAGGCATTCGGCTAGACATGGTCCTCTGTTCTCAGGACTCCACCACCCGTGAACCCCTCTCCCTGTGTCTGTCTGCAGAGAATGTATCTTCCATGGTGTAGTGTGTGGGCAAGGTTAAGGTCAGTCCAGGAATCCTGGCCCCTGAGAGCTTGGAGGACATGCCTGAGAGCAACAGGGCATAGGGCAAAGCCCCTAGCATACAGCCAGAGGCCTGTCACTTCTTGCTTCGGCACCCTAGGCTGGAGGTTCTCTCTCAAATGCAAAGGTTGAAATAAAGTATTGCTAATTTGGGTCCAAATCTCTTACTTGACTCTTCACTGCTTGACCTTGGAATGGTTTTTATAGCCCGGAGCTTAGATGTATAGCTAATGATAACACTGAGCTCCAGACTTGGGGCTGGCAGACCAAAAATGTTTAGGGTGTTGGCTAACTGTCTTCCTTCTGTAACTATGGTCCTGCGGACCGATGCTCAGAACCGAATCAATGGAGTGAAAGACAACCACCCTGTCTGAGTGGATAAAGCTGGAGCCACTCCCAGCCCATTCCCCTATACAAACCAGCAGGGAGACATCTGAAATTCAGTGTGGTGGAGATGGGATTGGTGATATTGCCAGAGGCTTCTGGCCTCTGCTAGTCTGCCCTGCCCTTTGTATGGCCCAGGTGGGGTGAGGGCTAGGGGGAGAAAGCCCAGCAGTTTGGAGAGCTAGGGAGAGGGGCCTCGAGCACCATGCTGCCGCTCGTTTTGTTTTCCCTGCATTATGAATATGCACAAATTGCTCAACTGGCAGAGTCTGCCACCCACTGCACAGATGGATTGGATAGATTTCACTCTAATTTCAAAGAAACAAATTGCCTCTTAAATTTAGGCAATTATTGCTACAGTTAGCTGTGGTGTGTGTGTGTGTGTGAAGGGGGGTGATTTCTAGAACTTGTTTCCCTTTCAGGAAATAAAAACCAACAGCTAGCCTGTGAAGGAGAGGGGCGGGTACGTTGACCCAGCCAGATTTGGAGAAGGCCCTTATCTTTTTTTAAAGATAGGACCTACTAAGTATATAGTGCAAACTGGCCTCAAACTCAAAATCCCCTGCCTCTGCTTCCCAAGTGCTAGAATCACAGGTGTTTTACAACATGGAAATGCTTGGAAGAATCTGAGCTACACGCCCCTTGCCCAGTTGGTCCCCCCTTTTGTAGAAGAGGATGGTATCTCTACAAGGAGAGCTCCAGTTCATGCCATGGCCTCGTGGTTCTTTTTGTCTTTTCTTCCCCATCTGTAGACTAAATCCAGAAACATGCTCCACCTGGGGGCTAGAGAGACGATGCTTCATAGAATATAGCTCACAGCTGCCTTTTCTTGGTGCTGTCTCCGGCCTCGCTTCCAACTCAGAGCCCCTGTGTTCTGTTTGTACCCCCGTCTCCCCAGGACTCTCTACCTCCGATGCACAAAAAAATGTGGTCAGGACCAGTCGACACTGTGTGCTACCTTCTGCCTCCTGACCAGTCTGTGTGACACAGTGGGGGCGATCCTAGCCAGACAGCTCACCATCCAGGTATGTCCAGAACAAGCGTGGCTTCTGTTTCTCTGTGGCAGCCTTGCTAACATCTGTGTTTTCCCTCAGCCTGCCCAGCAGTTTCCTCTCAGGGCCTTGTCCTTTCTGTCTTCTCAAGTGCTCTTTCTCTCCGTGTCCACACGGTTCATCATCACCTCTAGAGTCACCTTCTTAAGCTTTGTGGGGTGACAGCGATGTCCCAGTGGGTAAGAGCACACACTGCTCTTTCAGAGGACTAGAGTTTGGTTCCCACTACCTATGTCAGGTAACTTATACCTGTGTGAACTCCAGCTCCGGTGGATCCCATGGCTGCTTCTTCTAGTGTGCCTGTACACATAAAAAAAAAGGCCCCCCCAGTTTGAAACTGTAGCACATCTCTTCCACAAGTGCTCCAAGCTCCCTTCTCCTGCTGTCTCTTAGTTTACCTTTCTTAGTTTACTGTGTCTTAGTTTCCAGTTGCTGTGATGAAACACCATACCAAGGCAACATATAAAAGAAAGCATTGAATGGGGCTTATGGTTTTAAAGGGTTGGAGTTCATGATAGCAGAGCAAAGGCATGGTGGTAGGAACAGCTTGAGCTGCAGGTAGGAGGCAGGGACACTGGGAAGGGCTTTCGAAACCTCAAGACCCACCCACCCCCAGTGACACACCTCTTCCAACAAGGCCACACCTCCTAATCCTTCCCAGACAGTTCCACCAACCAGGGACCAAGGATTCAAACATATGAGCCTGTGGGGGCCGCTCTCATTCAAGCCACCACAATGAGTTACCATCATCCAAAGAACAGGGACTTACCGCTGTGTTGCCACTGTACACAGCTCACAGTAGATGCTCAACAGACAGTCATTATCATTACAGTTTGCAGGGCTGAGACTTGGCAGTGGCTGCCGAGTCCTTCTCCTGGTGATGATGTGGGATTTGGCTCAGGGAAAAGGAGTTTCTAGTTCCCCCAAAGTGTAGGCCCTCAAATAAAGGGTTCTGGTCCGAAGCACATTTCCCAAGGAATGTTTTTTGAGCCCTACTGCAAGGAACTCATGATTTTACCTTTGTGGCCACCTAGGCAGAGATAAAGAAGGGCAGCCTAGTGGTCAGAACACTGATTCCAAGGTTTGAACTGTTGAGAACAGTGCCATGCTGGCTTTGGAGTTGACTCCCTTTCCCACTGGCCTGTGGGACACAGTGAGGCTCTGTTCATGGCCAATAGGGATGACTGGCTGGAGTTTGTTAAATATTTAACTGCACCCTTGGCGCTAAGGTCTCCTCGTGCATTAACTCATTTGCCCCTGAAGCTGACCTGTGATGTGGGTCCTGTCGTCATTCTTCTGCTATGGATGTGGAAACCGAGGGGCAGTGAAGCCTCTGAAAGCCCACCCTCTAATACATACCAGGGCCAGGATTCCAAAGCCACAATGTACACTCTTCTCAGTGATGATGTTCTTGTCTCTGGTACTGTTGACTCCCTCTAGGTCCCGGTCCAAATAATTGTCTCCAGAAATCTACATGGCAGTCATTGTAGGAGACCTGATTGGGTGCTGGTTTTACAGATGGGGAAACTGAGGCTCAGAGAGCTTCTATGTCTAGGATATAGCCCCACAGCAAAAGCTACCCATGCCACGGACATGCTGCCCAGTGTAGCCCACGTGGTGGAGGGTATCCAGGGTGGCAGTGCTGTGGTTCCTGGGGGATGGTGCTGGATCACCCAGACTCTGTCTCCCTTTGCTTCCAGGTGTTCACTGGAGCCTACCTAGCAGTTGTTGACTTTGTGAACTTTGTGTCCATCCTCTTCCCAGTCTGTGGTTCCAAATCCAAGTCAAAGTCTGGTGAGTGTGCCCATGCGGCCATCCCTCTGCCTTCCTTCTTCCATCCATCCATCCGCTCCATACCTATTCCTTATCACATCCTGAGCCAGACAAAGGAATGAAGTCCCTGACCTCAGCCACAAGAGAAAGATGGGGCCCTAAACAATTACTATAGCTGGCGCTTAGGGGACAGAGTCACAGGGAGAGACGAGATTCAGAGATAGGAAAGCATGTGACACCAGGACTGGTGGCACAGGCAAGCAGACCACAATGGGCCAAGGCCAGGAGCAATGATGGTGTGTCGCTTCAGGGGACAGTGTGCAAGTCTGGCTGACCAAGTCAAGCTACTCAATTTCTGGAAATGGATGGCAGAAGCAAGCATGGGTGACCTTGGCATGAGCAGAGCTGGAGGGACCAAGATGGGGTGAATGGCCCTGAGTACATAAGACGGGGGGTTCCTGAGAAGACAGCAGTGTTCTTAGACTCTTGTCCAAAGGCAGGATGGTCACGTCAGTGGGTCATGTAACATGCTCTCAACCCAGTCCATGTAGCTCAAATAAAAAATATTCTCTAAAGTGCTCATAAGAGTGTATTATGTCCCATGTTCTAAGGAAACCTGCAGGAATGTCCTCTCTCATTCTTGTTTCTCCTGCTCACAGAGTAGGTGGCTTGACACACAGTCACTGACTTATCTGTGCCAGTGACAGAAATGGTTGGAACATGGTCATTGGGAATACGAATCTAGGAGAGGTGCTACTGTCTACACAGATACTAGCATTAAAAGATTCCTTCCGAGGAAGACAAACAGTAGCCACTGGGGGTGGAGGCTGTTTCTGGAAGAGAAACTTGACCCCAGGGCTTTGAAGGGGGTCCGAAACTGCCATAGCAAGACATGGGAGCAAGGCTAGAGCCTACACCAGTTTCTCCCACGCCAGGCGTCTGGTGAATTCCATCATCCGGGAGCATCATGGGGGCTCTGGTGTTTCCCCACAGGTCGGGGCAGCAGGGAGAGGAGAAGAAGGCATCTGAGAGCCAGTGTGTTTGCCCTGGCTCTGCCGCTGTGCCTGGGTCCAGGCTGGGCAATCTGGGCTGCTGTCCCCAAGGCTTCAGTCCCAGTCCGAGGGCCACAGAGGAAGCTTCTGGGAAGCCTGCTGCAGGTAAGGTTGAATATAGGAATATATAAAGATATGGGCTGGTACAGATCACTTCCCTCCTTGTGTATCTACTTGGTGCCCTGGGAGAGGGTGAGAGCTCTTGCTACTAGAAGGAGTAGCCTTCTAAAAGCAGAGACATCCTATCAGGTTTGTTGTTCCTTGGGGCATAAGCACAGTCTCTACACATCCATTTTTGCAGGAAAACCTGGAAGTCTTTGGCTACCTGCTGGGTGGCATCGCTGCCATTGGTTCCTGGGCATCCCGGATCCCTCCATTCTCCAAAATCGTGAGACTTGGGTGGGGCTGGGGGTTTGGGTCATGTGACCATTCTTGGGGCTCAGGAGACCCTGGGGGTGTGATGTCCCTGTGTGGGGAGCCAGTATACAACAGCAGTGAGATCTCTCTCTCTCTCTTACTCTCTCTCTCTCTCTCTCTCTCTCTCTCTCTCTT